GCAGCAGAGGAATCCCCCTGCCCCGCATGACAGGGCCTTCCCCATTCCCTGGGAACCAGCCCTGCCCCCTCCCTCCACTGTTCCAGTCAAAGGCTGACTCTTCTCTCCTCCAACCCGCCTGCTCTAGTTCGCACTGGGACCGCCCTCGTCAGGGCCCGAGCCATGGATCTGGTGTTCCTGGTCATCAACGGCGTAGGGATGGGCTTGGATTTCCTGGGGTTCCTGCTCGATGTGAACTTCTTCCTGGTCTCCACCTTGGTCTCCACGCTGGTCTGGCTCATTATGTTCATCTACAACCTGCCCAACGCGCTGGTGGCGGGCATGATGCACTGCTGGAACGGGACCTTGTTCTCCATGCTGTACCTGGTGGAGGCGCTGTGCTGCCTGGCGTTGGGCTCAGTGCAGACTGTCACCGGCCTGTTCCGAGGCTTCTGCTCCGGCCTGGAGAGTCTGAAAGTGGTCGGGCACCTGTTCTCACACGTAGGCCTGAGAAGCAAAGAATTCGTGCACCGAGGGCTCTGGAATGTGGTTGGCTCTGGCCAGTCGCTCCTGAGGCAGGTGTGCGAAGTGTTTACCATCATCATGAGCCTCCTGGCTTATTTTGTGAACAGCCTCATCAACATCTGCCTGATCGGCACCCAGAATCTGGTGCTGATCCTGTGGGACTCCATCGTCACTCCTTTCCTGAGAGTCACAGATCTTCTAGCTGCCTTGCTCGCTCACATGTCTAGCAGTGCCATTGCCATGTGCATTCTCCTGTGGTCACCCTGCCAGCTGGCATTCGAACTCTTGGTGTCCATGAGCAAACTCCTGGTTAATGTCTTCTTCCTGAATCTCTATGGCCTATTGTTGCTGGCCCTCCTCGTCACAGTCAGCACCTTCGTCCTCAACCCTGAGCTGATGAGGACACTGGCAGACCACGTGTCGGGATACTTGAACACCTTGCCTTCATACCACCGCCTGCGGAGGGACATCTGGCGCCTCTATCAGGTTGTGCTCTTGACGCTGGGGATGGTGGTGAGCTCCCAGGCTTGGCGCAGGGTTGCAGACTGGAGTCTCCAAATGGCCAATTGGAGTGGAGGAGGCAGAGCAACAAACCAGCAGGCCAACCTAATGCTGCAAGATGCAGAGGCCAACCAAGGCAGGCCAGGGGCGGCGGCAGCCATTCATAGACCAGTTGCTCATCAGGGAAGAGCAGGGCTGCTTGGAGCCAATCAGCAGGGTGTAGGGGCTGCTCGTCAGGGGCAACAGCTGGCAGGCAGAGGACATGGGGACCAACATGATACGAACGTTGAGCAGGGATCAAATGCGCAAGCAGCCTCTGGTCGATATGCTACAGCAGGGCCGCGCCTCCTGCCTCCAGGCGAAGGGCCCAGCACATCACGAGCCAAAGCTGTGAGGAAAGAGCAGCTGAACGCTTTAGAGGAGGACAGCGAGGATGTTGCTCCGGAGAATGACCCTTGGATGCTCTTGAAAGAACAAGAAGAACGTAAAAAATGTGTCATTTGTCAGGACCAAACCAAAACCGTCTTGCTCCTGCCCTGCAGGCACTTGTGCCTCTGTGAAGAGTGCACCGAAATCCTACTGCAGCAGGCCATCTACCAGCGCAACTGCCCACTCTGCCGGCAGATGATACTGCAGACGCTAAACGTGTACCTGTGAGGTCGGGGTGTCACATAACTGATATTTCACTGGGCTTTCCCGGTGTGCCAGCCAGCACAAGAGAGTCCTGGGATCCTGGCTTCACAGTGGTGGTACTTTCGGTGCCAGGTACCCAGGAGCAGCTCAGCACTTTCTATGCCACCTGGAGTTTTCCAAAGAACCAGCAATGACACTGAAACAGAGAGAACCATAGAAGCTTTGTGTCATGAATATTGTGGTGTCACTCGCTTGTCGCTGCTGCTGGAAAGCACAAAGCCGATCCCAGCAACAGAGTGAAAGGTTTTGGCAGCTGAACAGCAGCCTGGACTTTTGCCTGGAGAGCAGAATCTGCCTCGGGTGGTGCATCACACCGAGTCTCCAAAGCAGGGCTTGAAAAAAGCTCCAGACACTTCCTAGCTGAAGTCTGCTGTGAAAGATGGTAGCAGCGCCCTGGTAAGATGCTCCGATGTTAGCAAAGAGCAAATTCTGGGATTCCAGCCCTGCTATTAGGAGCAAGGGAGGGCTTTTGTGGCAGGCTTGGCTAGCGACTGCCTGAAAATCTTGGCATTTCTCCACTTCTCTCAACTATTGAAAAGGAGCTGCTCTTCCCCTCCTGCTTTCTTGTAGGAGGGCAGGAAGGGAGTTGAATGGCTGAGAGCCTGCAACAGAGTGAAATTAACAAGACTGTGGCCAGTTTCACTGTCGATTTCACTCTGGATTCCCAAACTCAAAGGCCCAGACTCTTAGATGCCTAAATATCTTTAACGGCTGTCAATTTCCATGGGCATTAGACACGTAAATACTTTGGAAGACCTGGGCTACAGCTTCTATCCCATGGGCAAGTGCATCTTTCAAGCCTGATCCAAAAGACTGGCTAGTGCTCTCCGTAGCCAGAGGCCCGTCTGGTTTGCGGCTGCAGAAACACACCCTGTGAAACTTTTCATCATTCCTTCACAGTATCTTGGACCCTGGTGCCGTCTGGGGTCTTTGTTTTTCCTTTTTGCCCTTCAAAAGCTGGTTATGCAGGGGGAAAATTTACTAGGCTGTAGGATTTTTCCAGCTTATTTCCCCCAATTCTCTCAGGGCCACATCTCCTTGAGAGAGAGACAAGTTAGAAGCCAAATGTTGCTACCGGGGAGAACACAAATTCTTCCCAGTTTAACTTACGTAGAGTTAAGTCAGCACCTCATTGAGTACACTGGCACACAATTAGCACAGATCACCTATGCAAAAGAACACATTCCAGATTCCTCGCACAGTTCTTTTGGGGGAGGGAAGGTTGAGTGGGGGGGAAAGGAAGGCTGGCTCTGTTTTCTCTTTGAAGGTAGTTTCTTCACATGAATGTAGTGCTGTCTTAACAGCCCTGAAAATGGAAGGCCTCCATGTATCCACAGAACAGGTCCAGCTTAGGCAGCAGCAATGCTAGCGTCCACATCTCATGTACCTCCTTCCACACTCAGAGTCCCCTTTAAAAGGGACTTGATTCTCCGTGGCCTACTCAACCCATAGTCTTTACTGAGACTGCTCTAGAGCCATCCCGCTGTAACCACTGTCTCCTGGTCTGGGGTGGGATCGAAGGAGAGATCTCTGACGGGGGAAGTGCCAGATCCCTCTGAGACATGCAGACCCTGGGGAGCAAGTTTTTCTATGTGTGATGAAGCTATAATTGCACATATAGGGTTGTAATTTAGCGTGGGATTATATTGGTGTTGTTTTACCGACGGTCTGAAATGTGAAATGTATCACGAGAGCTTCTTTGCTTATGCACCGTCCCCCTCCGGGAAGCTCAGCAGTAATCTCTGGATTGGGAAGTCTGGAAGGACTGTCAGCATTTGGCCAGTCAGTGTAATTCCAAGAGATCAGTGAGCTGACAAATAGGGTATTGGAACTAAAACCCTCTCGTGTTCCCGGATGCTTGAGAGGGGTTATCAGAGTCCCAGAACCAATTTAATCCTAAGTGCTTACATTGTATCGAGCCCCTGGACCGCAAGACAGGAGGCCGGGGGATGTGTATGTTCTCTCTCAAGCTATTCAATAATTAATAGCTGGTCTCACCCCAAATGGAGCAGTGTACTAAGGCCAGAGAGCACTGGGGGAGGATCGAATGAATTTGTTTACATTGCAGAATTCCGCTGTCATAGCGAGGTTCAGGCGAGGCTGTGTGACTGGAGCCGAGTCGTTAAAAGCACTTTGTGGGATGGTGTTACAGACGCAGGGTGAAGCGCCGGCTCTACCGACGCCAGTGGGAAAATTCTCTTTGGCTTCGTGGGGCTCAGGATTGGGCCCTGGTTTCTGTGGGGTATTATAATACGGGGTGGTCCCGGCAGGCCGGGCAGAACCAAACAATGCTACCAAAGACGGGCACTGACCTGCATGTAGGAAGAAATGTTATTGGGGCGAATGACATTCTCTGGGAGGCTGCTGCGGGCGTAGGTGGAGAACAGCCGTGCTTTAGAATAGAGGTGCACCTGGCAGACACGGGTGAAGGGGGAGAGGCAGAAGGGCCCAGCCTCGAAAGCTACCAGGGAGCAGCGCTGCCAGGGGCCCCCGGAGACATGGAATGCGGCAGCTTTCAACTTTCTGATCAATTTAAAAAAAAAAAATCCTCGACAAGCATTTGAAGTGTGGTGCTGCTGGCAGGAGGATGAAAAATTTCCTTCTCTGCCCCTTCTGGGCTGCTGATGCTTAAAATCGAGGGGGATGGCAGCAAGATGGCATGAGTTATGTTCTGCCCTTCCTGGTAAGCCACACAGCCCCAGGGGCCGTGTGCACCGTGCCTGTTCCGACACACAGCCAGGCTTGGAAGCCTTGAGTGTAAAATCTTTCACATTGCTGTTTTTCTAAGAAGTTTCTCCCCCCCCCTCCCCACCCGCTTCGGTGTCTTTCCCTTTGTTGGGCCAGGCCCTTTTGTTTTCCGCTTTGCCTGCATTTGCAGACGCTACAGGGGGATGTTGCCGTTTGAAGGAGAATTGTTTATTTCCTTCGAGGTCCCCTGGAAGTGCTCTTATTGACTCTTCATTTCTCCATAAGCCTCCTCCAACACCACGAGAGCATCTCAGAGTGCGGCGGGATAGGGCTGTGGGGCTGGGCCGAAGCCCTCTGCCGACGGGCATGCTGACTCAGCCACCCGGGTTCTGCTGGTTTCAGGCCTTTCAGAAATTGACGGGAGGGGAGGCAAAGTTTGTACCAAATAACAAAGGGGGGAGTAGTGGCTGATGCTTAAAATCAAGGGGGATGGCAGCAAGATGGCATAAGTTATGTTCTGCCCTTCCTGGTAAGCCACACAGCCCCAGGGGCCGTGTGCACCGTCCTAGGCTGTCGGAGCAGTGCAGTGTCTGCAGCTGTGCGTAACGCTTTCCACCTGTCCAAGGCTATTCCGCTCCTTCCTCCCCATCGGCGTTGGACGCTGGAGGCAGCCAAGAGGCCTGTGCAGCCAACCCGGCCCCCTTTGTAAAGTTAGCCAGAGCCTCCCACTTTGTGCCTTCTTGAAAAACTGGCTCCCGCCCAGATGCTCTTTGGCTGCCCCGCTGCAGGGGTTTATTTTGGGCGGTGGCTTTTCTAACACTGGCCCCGGAGGGAGAGTTTTGTATCCAGCATTCTGGGGGGTTCTCTTCCCAGAGCTCACTGCTGCTTCCCTTCCTACCCGCTCGTGTTTGATGTTTGAAACGACGGTCTCTCTGCCTTTGGGGGCTGTGGTTTGCTGTCCAGAAAAGCTGCGTGTTCGAAGGTTAACTCTTTGCACTAGGAGCCCGACTCTGCACATTAAAGTCTCCTTTGCAAAAACCAAACTGCCCGCGGCCCCGTTCTTGGAGCGCACGGATTGGGGGGAGAGCACTTCCCCAAAGGGGCGCTGGCGGTGGGGAAGTAAAATCCCGTTTAAAATGTGAACTCGTTAAACGATAAGCGGTTCATGGCCCCTCGTGGGCCGGCGTAGGTGGGGGCTGCTCTGGCTGGGCAGGGTGGTGCTTACTGCGTCTTCCAGCCCTAATTGGTGTCGGGCTTCATTTCCGCTCATCTCTGGACCACTGGAAAAGGGGGAGAGCCTCGCAGCCAGAATTCCCAGGCAGACTCCGCAGGGAACCCGCAGCTTTAGCGGGAGCACGGTGAGGAGAAACTGCAAGGGCGAAGAACAGCGCAGGATGCAGTGGGGGTGGGCCGGGAGAGGGCTGCAGGGAGCATGCTCTGATCCTGCACACAACCAGAGAGGGCATGTCGAGGTGGGGGGCATGTGCTCTTGTGCAAAACCAAGGAGGGGGGGAAGGGAGCACAGCGGTCTGGGGAGGGTGTGACAGGAGTGTGATCCAGTGGAACACACAGTTAAATTCCAACTGGGGTGCACGAGAGCAGCCACGGCTGCCATTGATCTTAGCGCCCTCCTGCATAGGGATGTTCAATATCAGTTAATGGAATAGTCGATTAACCTCATGAATTCTTATGGGTTCCTCGACTATTCTAGAGTCCCTGGGGCGGGGCTGGCCCCACTCCCAGGGAGCCCCCTGCCACCATGCACGCCTGCCTCCCTGTCAGAGGGGTGCCAGGTGGGAGCTGGTCTGCGCGGGGAGCCAGTTTAAAAGCCAGCTCCCCTCTGGTGGTGGTGGGCGCCTGGCGATGCTCTCCCTGCCCTGCCGATGCTCTGCAGCCGGCCTCGCGGAGGGAAGTGATTTTTTGGCTAAAATTCCAGCCCATTAAGGCTCGTTAGTACCCGCCGCAGCAGAAAGCTGGGTTCGGAGGCCGGCTCTCCCCCCGGGAGCCATCAGGCCGGTGGTTTTCTTTACTCCCTGGCTGTTACAGCAGGCAATTAGCAGAAAAATGCAACTGTGCGTTCCCCCAGTCCGGGCGGATTGCAGGGTTATCGATACCTGCACTCACCCTTTTCCCTTCATAACTCACTAAGTGGCAGCTCCTGGACTCGCTGTTCAGGCGGCCGTGACGAAGGCACCCGGGTCAGCACGGCTAGTGGAATATTCCTGGGCCCAGAGCTGGAGCGCAGGCCAGCCCAGCGGTGCGGAGGTGACTCGGCCCTGTCATTCCTCTGTGCAAATCCCAGCCAGCTCTCCCCTGCCCTGTGGGGGCAGTAAGAGCCAAGCTAGCTGGGGGGTTTGTGCCCCTTCTCGCCCCCACTGCCGACCCCAGCCTGGGCAGGCAAAGCTAGGGATGGCGATGGGCCATGGTGCAGCTTAGCTCAGTTCCAGAGCCTGCCTGGCGCAGAGGCGACGTACATAAGAACGGCCGTACTGGGTCAGACCAAAGGTCCATCTAGCCCAGTAGCCTGTCTGCCGACAGTGGCCAGCACCAGGTGCCCCAGAGAGGGTGGACTGAAGACAATGATCAAGCGATTTGTCTCCTGCCATCCTTCTCCAGCCTCTGACAAACAGAGGCCAAGGACACCATTTTATCCCCTGGCTAATAGCCTTTTATGGACCTAACCGCCATGAAATTATCTAGCTTCTCTTTAAACTCTATTATAGTCCTGGCCTTCACAGCCTCCTCTGGCAAGGAGTTCCACAGGTTGACTACATGCCAGGCAACTCCCGTCTCATCTGCTGGCCTGGCAGCCGCAGCCCAAGCAGGCTCCGGTGCTGGCTCCATGGCTCCAAGGGGAGATGAAGTGGAGAGAAGGGAGCTAAGCTGGGAGGGGAGACACCCCCCTGGCTGGACCACATGTGGAAGTTTGAGGCTGGGGAACCGGACGCCTCCGCTTGCCCAGCCTGGAGCCTAGCAGAGCTGCCTGGAGCCTGCGTGCAGAGAGGGGCCTGGGTTGTGTGAGTGTGGAGAGAGGGAGAGGCTGGAGAGCGGAGGAGGCAGCTTGGTGGTACGGACCAGGGGACTCAGTGGGATCAGCCTTGGGCCGCTGGCCAGTCCCTGGCTCCATGCATGGACTGAGTTTCACTGGTCTCAGCCCGGCTCCTGGCTTGCACATCACAGAGCCACCCTCTCCTGGCACCAGCAGTCTGGAGGGGCAAGAAGGGACTAGTATGGCCCTGCGGCCTCTCGCACCAGGGCCTGACCACGTGGTCTCTTGCAGCTCCGGTCTCCGTTCTCAAGCAGGAGGTAGCAATTACATGCAGACTCCGTCTGGCCCAGCTGCCGCTCTTCTTGCTCCCACCCTCTGGGCAGGAGCCCCTCTCTCTAGCAGCTGCTGCCTTGTCTGGGCAGGGTGCCCTGGGGCCTAACCGTGGCCCCAGCTCTGACGAGATGGCGATTTCCATGCTCACGCTGCGCCCGACAGCCAGGGGCGCGGGGTGGGCAGACACGTCCACCTGCTCCCCCTCCTGCTGCCGTTCGTTCAGCGGGGAGGCCGCTAATGATGTGGGGGCAGCAGATGCCAAATGGCAGCTGGACCGTTGCAGTCTGGGCCCGAGGCGTAGGGAACGGGGGGGGGGGGGGGGATGTGCTCAGGACTGTGTGGGTGGAAGCCTCTTGGGTGGCGCCCTCGGGCATCCAGGACAAGGCTCCGTCAGCTGCTGCTGGGCCGGAACGAAGAGCCCCGGCCCAGCCCGCATCAGCTCCGGGGAGCCGGATCCAACAGCTGGGTCGGACACACGGCCGCCCTGCCGCAAAGGGCCAAAGCAGCCCCTTATGGACAAACTGGGACGTGCCGGCTCAGGTCCAGCATCCGCAGCGAAGGCCCATATCTGCTTGGGGCTGGGGGGGAGGAGCTGCTGCGGGGCCGAGAGAGGACTCATCCCAGCTGCAAGTCACCTGTTTTGGGGGTCTCAGCCAGGTGTCAAGGGGTCGTGGCCACCCCTCTCCATATTGCTCAGGGGAAGGGGCATTTCCAGCGAGGGGAAAGGGGACTCAGGCGACCCCACTATGAACCACTGCGTCAGGGGCTTCCCCGTCCTTCCGGTTTGCCCCCCCAACCCAGGAAGCCCGGGTCCCTCCTCCGCAGCCCCCCCAACACGGCAGCTGGGCTCTGCTCCAGAAGAGGCTTGTCCATCGCTGAAAGCCAGCAGCGCCTGCTATTGATCTGTGGCTCCATTTAGCCCCCTGGCGGCTCCGCTTACGGAAACAGATCAAACCCACGCAGCTGTACGTCCATGCTGTCCTCTGGCCACTTCCAGGAAGGAGATGCTGCAGCGGCTAACCAGCCCCAGCCTAGGTTCTTGGGAGCCTGCAGCGAACACCCAGCAGCCTCCTAACCCTCTGCTGCAGCCACAGAGCCGGCCGGAGAGAGGGGCAGACCATGTCCTCAGGGCTGTGGGTAGCACCCATTGCCATCACATCTGGTAAATACCCACTGCAGCACCTGCCAGCCTAGGCTCTCAAAGCACCCACTGAGTCCCAGAGTGCCCCTCCTTCTTCCTGCAGTGCATTATCCCCATTTTACACACGGGGAGACTGAGGCAGAGAGCTGTTCATGCCCAGGTTACATGGCAAGTTAGTGGATGAAGTGGGACTAGCAGTCCTGCACTCTACTCTCCAGCTCTTACCACTAGACCCCACTCTCTGCCAGAGCCAGGCCTCCCCCTGTCCATGCCACTTGCTCTAACTGCTAGACTGCACTGCACTCCAGCAACCTAGATCAGACACATCCAGTGGGAGGGTCCATGGCCCTGGGAGCACTGAACGCTCTGGGGAAGGGAGGGTACCTGGCAGCTCCCTTGCAGCTCTGGGAGGTCAGATCATCTTAAATGAACATAAACCCCGGAGCGGGGGAGCCCCATGTGGGCAGAGCTGTGAAGTCTCCACCCCCAGGACTCTAGGATCTCTGGTTAGAGAGCTCCCCAGCTGGTGCATGGCCCACGCCCATGTGGGCACTCGGGTCCGGAGCGCCCGTCCTGGGGTCCAGCCAGGGTTTGCAAGCCCAGCCACTGAGTTGGGGTGTCCCGCACGAGAGCTGAGAGGTGCTGGGCTCCCGTCTGCCAGCGAGAGCTGCAGGGCTCAGGCCCCCAGCTGAAAGCAGCTGGAGTCGGCCGCTCATAGGCACTAACGAGCCTGGGGCCACCCCGAGTACCGCCTCTCCCAGTGGCTAAGGGGAATATGGGGCTGGGATTCCTCCCGCCATGTCTCTGGGGACCCCTCTGGCCATCCCTCGCTCCGGCCGCAGCTTCCCAGCCCCTCACTGGAGCCCGTCTGTCCGAGGCCGGCTCCCTGCCAGCCTCAGCCCCAAGCTGGAGGAGATGCCCCTCCGGGGGAGAGGGGAGAGCTGGCTCCCTGGCCCGCTCCCGCCGCAGGCCCGGTGGGCACCCATGAACTGAGACCTGCCCCGCTCGTTCCACAGGAGCAGCCAGGCGGGGCGGCTCCAGGCCTGGGGGGGGGGCGCAGGCGCTGAAGTCAGACTGGCGCTCTCGCTAATGCGGGGAGTCTTTCCCTGCTCTCAGGGCCCCGTGGCTAAGGCCTCTGGGCTCCCTTCCCAGGGGGCCAATGCAGGACGCCCCAGACCTGCCGGGCCACCCCACCAGCAGTCGGCTGCAGGGACTCGAACAAGCAGCAATTCCTGCGTCTCTCGGACAGACACCAGCCAGGTGGGGCCCTGGGCACTGCTGTAAGATCCCACACAGCCCACACCAGGCCTGAAGGGGTTAAGGTGGCCAGATGGGCTAGTTACCCACCCAGGCTGCACCAAGGAGCAGGGATTCATTGGGGAGGAGACTGAGCTGGAGAGGAAGAGGAGGGGTTGAAGTCTCTCAGGGTGAGGTTGGTTGGACCCTACCAGGGCTAAAGCTGTAGGCGTCGGGGCTGTGCAGACCCTGCCTGCTTGTCATAGGGTCCCTGGACCAGGCTCCCCGGCCCGCTGCTGGCCCGGGCCATGCAGGAGACGCTGCCTGAGAGACTTTGAGAACAT